TTTTTCCATCCTTGCCCATACTTTGCTACGTTTTATTTTAAAAACACCGTTATATAATACTGAATATATAAACGTATTTTACTGAATATATAAACTTGAGAGACTATATATAAATATGTAGTTTAATTATATAAATATAATTACGGAATACTGCAGTCAGCCTGATTTGATTGTGACCAATCCTTCGGTTCACAAGCTCTGCTACAATAGTATAATTCTTTTTCGCAATTTTTGGTTGTTTCTGTAGAATAAACAGAGCAGTTTTGTACTGCACTGTTTTTGGATTCCTCTTCGAAATATTTATATAATACCTGTAACTAATTGCAACAACGGAATAATAAATAAAATATATACTAAATGCATAATACATAATTATATAATACATAATGCATAATTTTTCTTAACTGTTACATATATTAATTATATATTTGCATAATTTCTTACTTCATTTTGGGTTATTTGTCACACAAATGTGTAATGCCAAAAAAAGAAGTACTACATAGTGTAGATGATATTGAAGAATGTATTTCAAAGTTTCAGTATGCGAACAACAAAATGAAGTAAGAAATTATGCAAATATATAATTAATGTAACAATTAAGAAAAATTATGTATTATGCATTTAGTATATCATGATTCACGTTATTAAACAATAAAATATACCTTAATTTTAAATAATGTGAACATGTCTAATATTAATTTATAAAATGTAACTAATGTAATGATGTATAATTTGTACAAAAAATCAATATTAACAAAAATTAAACATTTTAATTGGTCGCGACCGGTGTTACGAGTTCTGATTGGACATTCAACGGCATTTTTAATATTTTCTAGTACTTTTGCGATACTGCCATAAGCCAGTGACCAGTCGCGCTTCTCTGATAATCTAGGACTCTAAGGGTGCGTTCCGAATTGCGCTTGAAGCGCGTAGACTGCAATACTGATGCGGTACGCTTCGAAATCGTTCCGTTTTTTCAATGCGCGCATAATACGCATGAAGCGCTTGAGAATTTCGGAACGGTTTTCTGAGCAACCTATGCGCTGAGTGGGCTATAGTGGGGGTATGAATGTTAAAAATGGACAATTTTCAACTAGTTGCAACAAAAAAGCTTGGTCTAAAAAAAACACACTGGTTAACCTAACTAACGTCTAACTATTAATAAAGTGAATTATAATACGTGCATTCCGTTTCATGCATGATGTATAAACGTACCCTAAGTATCATTTTATTCTTACATATTTTAACATTCAATGAATAATGAGGTGAATTCAATGATAAAATGATACTTAGGGTGCATTTCACGATAAATACATTATAATTTTACTTGTTTGTGCTTTCTCCATTTCTTCTTTAGTAACTAATAACGTTAAAATTTCATTTTTATCCTCTATTAATACTGGAAATTCAATTAATTCGTTATTCATTTTTCAAAACACCAACGACACGTGCTTTCTCGATGACGCTACCGTGTTTCTCTGACCTTAGAGTCCTAGATTATCAGAGAAGCGCGACCGGCTTATGGCAGTATCGCAAAAGTACTAGAAAATATTAAAAATGGCGTCGAATGGCCAATCATAAGTTTGATTTATTCGGCAGCCATTTATAATAGCGATAAATCAATCTTATGATTGGCCATTTGCGTGTCCAATCAGGACTCGTAACACCGGTCGCGCTTCTCTGATAATCTAGGACTCTATCTGACCTGAGCGCGTTCCGAATTATGCTTAAACCGCGTAGACCGCTTAAACGCATGAAACGCTTCAACTGCCTCAAGTCGAAGGAGAAGCAGTCTACGCGCTGGGAGGAGTGCTAAGAATTTAGTACGGGTAGTACAAGCTAGGGAATTCGTAGCGCTCTCGAAGCGCTTTCAAAGCGCGCAATAGCTAATTCGGAACGATTTTCTGAGCACTTCACGCGCTTCAAGCGCAAATCGGAACGCATTACTGAACTGTCCGAAAGAGCGTAGGGGCACTTTTTCGGGATTGGTTTTTAAAAGAATTTTTTGCGCGTTAACCGCAGGGCGGTCAGCCAGGAAGAGTCGGACCCAGCAGGCGAAGAGCTACTCGCAGCTTTCAAATGGCCACGCTCGAGGACAAGTCTATCTGGGAGGATGGAGAGGTACGAGATTCTGCATTTCGCAGGTTATGTGGTGCACGAATGACAAGCACATCTGAGCGCATATACATGTAACACCAGTAGTGTTCTGCTGTACTTTGCGACCGACACAACAATCAGCATGGATTGATTGATTTTAATTTTATTTCTCTTCACGTTCTCTTACTCCTTTTTCGTTAGCTGTGTCCCTTCTAATTCTCTTAGTAATAAGTTCATTTTTTTCCTCTCACAGTAGGATATCCGCTTCACTTAAAAATAATATAAGAAGGTTGTTTTGCATATCAATAAAATACAAGAACTATAAAACGAAAGTCTCTCTCTCTCTCTCTACGTTTATATATTTTTTTCTCTGGAATTATTGGATATTTATATTAATTATTTAGCTGTCACTAAGATATTGAATTAATTTATTCTTTGATTTTATTTGAGCAGATAAGGTCGTTTTAGTAATGATGAATAATTAACATTTTTTACTTTAAATTCAAGACTACAAGAAGAAATAAGTTAATTGAAATCTGTTATTATTTTGTTTCGTTTTGTCTGTAATCTAAAATTAGTGTAATCTGAACTCTAAAAAACAGGAGTGATACTTGAGTTTTGTCTCAGTCAAATCAATATAAAGTTGCATTTATGATATTGTCCTTCCTCTCAAATTGGCAGTACAAATATTTTTTTATAAAGAATTTTGTAAAAAGAACTATACTGTCTCTTTCATAGGAAACGTTGGGAGAGGATGTCTTGCGAATGTCCACGGACGAAATCGTGTCGCGTACGCGACTTTTGGATAACGAAATCAAGATAATGAAGAGCGAGGTGATGCGAATCTCGCACGAGCTCCAGGCGCAGAACGATAAGATTAAGGAGAACACCGAGAAGATCAAGGTGAACAAAACCCTCCCCTACTTGGTGTCCAACGTCATCGAGCTGCTGGACGTCGATCCGCAGGATATGGGCGAGGAGGACGGAGCGGTGGTCGATTTGGATGCGCAGAGAAAGGGCAAGTGCGCTGTAATAAAAACATCGACCCGTCAAACGTACTTTCTGCCCGTGATCGGCCTGGTCGACGCCGAATCGCTGAAGCCAGGTGACCTGGTGGGTGTTAACAAGGACAGTTACCTCGTGCTGGAGACTCTGCCGGCCGAGTACGACGCCAGAGTCAAGGCTATGGAAGTGGACGAGAGGCCTACGGAGCAGTACTCCGACATCGGTGGGCTGGACAAGCAAATTCAGGAGCTCATCGAGGCGGTTGTGTTGCCTATGACGCACAAGGAGAAGTTTGAGAACCTGGGAATACAGCCCCCCAAGGGCGTTCTACTCTACGGTCCACCTGGCACCGGAAAGACCTTACTAGCCCGGGCCTGTGCTGCCCAGACGAAATCCACCTTCCTAAAACTGGCCGGTCCACAACTGGTGCAGATGTTCATCGGCGACGGCGCCAAGCTGGTGAGAGACGCGTTCTCGTTGGCCAAGGAGAAGGCGCCGGCGATAATATTCATCGACGAACTGGACGCCATCGGCACGAAGCGCTTCGACTCGGAAAAGGCGGGAGACAGGGAGGTGCAACGTACGATGTTGGAGCTGTTGAATCAGTTGGACGGCTTCAGCTCGACCGCCGACATCAAGGTGATCGCCGCCACGAACAGAGTCGACATCCTGGACCCGGCCCTGCTGCGATCCGGACGCTTGGACAGGAAGATCGAGTTCCCGCATCCCAACGAGGAGGCCAGAGCGCGCATCATGCAGATTCACTCACGCAAGATGAACATGTCGCCCGACGTGAATTTCGAGGAATTATCCAGATCCACGGACGATTTCAACGGAGCGCAGTGTAAAGCTGTTTGCGTAGAAGCGGTAAGCGCAGGATAACTACTAATTAGGGCTGGTGATTTGCTTCGAAGGCTTCGACATTCAGACTTCGAAGCTTCGGCATTAAAATCTTCGAATTCTTTCGAAGCTTCAAAGATTCGAAAAATACATTCGTGCAAATGAATTTATTCAAAAAACTTACAAATATTGTAAATAAAAAGAATTAATATATATGCCCAAAATATATATTATACGTAATTATTCCTAAAAAATTTGAAAGTATTATAACCTAAAATATTACAAATTAATAATTAAACTTGATATATATGTAAATAAGAAAAGATAATGATCAATAAAATAATCAGATTAAGAAAATTCAAAAAAATTCAAAAAAATTCAAAAAAATAAAAATAAATTTATTCTTAAATAAATGAACAAAAATATAATAAATTAATATAATTGTTTTGGCGTCATTGAATCTTCCTCAGTATAAAACAATCTTAAAAATAGAAAATTTAA